GAAAGCGTGCCTTGCAACCCACACGAAGTTAGCATGGCTTTCATTCCTGTCGATATCTACATCGACGACATCAATAGTTTTCGTCCTGATTCTGATTCAGAATCTGAATCTCAAGGAGAAATACTCGTTGATCATCCCAATGGTGATATCAATTCGAATGATAGTAGTTACAAATATGACGTTCCAGAGAATATCCAACTCGATGATTACCAACTCGAGCATGGCGTGGGTAAGGGTGTCGGTGGGTGTGGGTGTGGGGTGGGTGTGGACGGGTTAATATCAATGTGAGGGTGTGCGGTGGGTGTCAACAGCTGAGCACAGCGGTGATAGCATGCAAATGAGGGTGCAGAATAAGTGCGGAGAGGTTAACAGTGAAGTGAGGATCACCAACGCGCCAGTAGAGGTTACAACTACTGCAACCGTACAACGCGAGTGCTACACTACTTAAATATTTCAAAAACAAAAACCAACCCTTCAATTTTTGAACATGCATCTCAGCACCCAAAATTAGATTTCAAGCTTAAACAGGTGCGCAAAGTCACACTCAACCAAAACCAGCACCGATATAATATATCTCATATCAAAAAGCCACGTGAAAACACCACTCTCCAATAAACAACTAACCACAAGATCTCTAATATTCCATAAGATGTCACCCTACTCCGATGTTACTACACATTCACCTCATTGTTTCCCAGCACCAGAATTCAATATATAAACAACGCGAACATAATCTATATTTTACCATTCGCAACCATATGAGCGGTACATCGAACAGCTCCTTATCGGCTATCTGTCGAACTACGCAGATTATGTAAGCTTATCTGTGATCTTCGGATCATTTGGATAGCTTATGCAATCTAAAGCCATCTGATGATTCCTTTAGCCGGGATGAAATCGCGATAATGGCGTGCTTTGACTCACACCCTCACCCTTCGGTGTTCTAGTGCCCTAATTGTCCTGAGTGTCCTGAGTGTCCTGAGTGTCCTGAGTGTCTTCGATGTCCTCATTGTTTTCAGTGTCTTCATTATTCTTGGTGTTCTAGTGTCTTTGGTATTCTTAGTGTTCTAATCTCTCATGTGTCCTAATGTCTTATCTATCTTCATGTCCGTAATGCCCTGATGTCTTTCATGAATGGATATGAAAACACCGACGAAATAAATATCGAAACAGAAAATGTCGAAAAACATACGGTCGAAAAAAGAGATCGAAGAGGAGAATATCGAAGGAAAATATGTTGAAGAAAAAATAGCGATGCGAGTTTTATCGAAAGTAAAAAATATCGCCTGTGTATAATATCGAAGATCGCAAAATTTTCTTCTACAATGATTTTCTGTTTTGTCGTTTTCATTCATCCAGTCATTATGCCGTTTTTTGTCCATAGTTTATTCCCTCGATGAACTGTAATACTGAAGAATACAGAGAAACAAAGGAGGAATATTCTAGAATATCGATTAGAGAAAGAATACAGAGAAACAAAGAAGAATTTCAAGGTATTAATTCTTGATCATATATATATGCTTGCTCCTGAATGCTACCCAACATCATTTTCCATTTCAATTAAATCTTCAGTCAGCATCATGTCCAACTGCATGAACACTTTGTCTTTCGTTAAATCCAATAAAGGTCATCGACAGCTCGTTCGCAATGGTTACATTTACAAGCTCAATCGACAGACATCTGCAAAGATGTATTGGATTTGCAAACATCAAGGTTGCACCGCCACTGTTCATACTGATAAAACTGATAATTATCTTCAGTCAAACGGTGAACACAATCATTTAATCGAGCCGGAAGAACTCGAAGTTCAACTGTTTCGAATAGCTTTGAAGGATCGTGTTATCAATGAAACGGCCCCCATTCCAAAGATATTCGATGAAGAGATCGCTAAAGCTCGATTTTCACCTAATGCACTTGCTAATGTTCCAATGTTTCGTGATATACGTAAGATTCCGTTTCTTATAGACTTCATACTTGTGTTACTTTTCTTATTTAGAACCCGGATTGAACCAAGCGAGAAGAAAAC